TAAATGTTCTGTATTATTACAAAACTCACTTGATTTTATAAAAGTATAAGTTGTTTCATTATTCTGCATAAAACCCAAGTTTCGTTTATCACGAAAAAAGTTTATTCTAATATATCAGGAGAAAAAAAAGTCAACGTAGTAGTTTTGAAGAACGTTACATAAGAAAAAGTAAACACATCCATACCTTTAGAATCAAAAGACTCTTATATATAATAATATTATGTTGGACCAACTTTAGAATGCTCGACCGACGTCGGAGGTCTACGTTTGGCCAACGTAAGCCCAACGGTTGCCTGCAACGTTGCGTCGACTTCCAAATCAATGTTGTGGCAACCTTAGTTGTCGACCATCAGGCAACGAATTTTTTAACGCTGATCCGACATTGGGCCAACGTTTGTGTGCTATCTGAGTCCTGATATTACTACGAAATTTAACTGTTGAATTAAAATGTAGTTAATTTTTTTGTTTCTTTAGTACTTGTTTGTTTGTTAATGAATGTTTATTGCAAGGATTGTTCTTCGCAGTGGTTAGAATTCTGGCTCAGAAACTAAAGGTCCGGGGTTCGACGCCAACTCTAACCCAACAAGCGACATTGGTATAGAACGAGGCATGAACTTCTTGTTAAATGCTTTCCAAAGGTGCTATGTGATAAGACCATAAGGATATCCAGGAGCATTAAAATAATTACAAATAAAAGGCTACAGGACGTCTTTTCCGGACTTTCCTAAGGCGTCTTTTATGCTGAACATCCGGAACTTTTTTTTATGCAATATATACAAGGAGTGTTAACGTTGTTTTTAATTACAGTTCGGTCGCCTCCAATAGCTCAAGTCATGTAACGAACAGGTTTAATCATTTTCAAAAAGTTAGAGAGCACTTTTTTCTCATCGGACCTCAAAGGTACAACACGACCTATAATTAAATAATTTGTTATTTTATACATAAAAAAAAAAAAACCTAACCTAAATTTTTGACAGTTCACAAAAGTTTAAAGTTGAATAATCGTCTGTGGTGTTTACATCAAACAGAAGTTTTTAATTGTCCACAACTGCAAATAAAACATTTTTTGTAAAAATGTTATATAATTTTGTCGCACTGATAAAAATTTTTTTTTTAAAAATGCAAGTTACGTTAAAAATAAATTTGTTAAAATGATTTTTAGTGTTGTAAAACCTTTGCTTTCATTTAAAATAAAAATTAGTTTTTATGTATGAATAAATATATATATATATATATATATATATATATATATATATATATATATATATATATATATATATATATATATATATATATATATATATATATTTATATAAATATATATATATATTTATATATATATATATATATATATATATATATATATATATATATATATATATATATATATATATATATATATATATATATATATATATATATATATATATATATATATATATATATATATATATATATATATATATATGTATATATATATATATATATATATATATATATATATATATATATATATATATATATATATATATATATATATATATATATATATATATATATATATATATATATATATATATATATATATATGTATATATATATATATATATATATATATAAAACGTTACAAAACGTTACATAGCAAAATACCGTTAATATATTTTTACATCAAAATATATTTAAAACTAGTTATATGCTGCCTTTTTATTAAAAACTAGTATATATATGGTTTTTCTTCAAAAATGCATATCAAGCAATATAATTGCAAAATTGTTTAAAATAAAAAGTCAATTGCAAATAAAAAAGCCTAAAATATAATGAAAGAACACAGAAAAAAATTATTAGTTCATGCTCGAAATGAAGCATAAGAAAGGTAATATTCAAAAAGAAGTTAATTGATGAACTAAATTTATATCTTCAATCACAAATAAGATCTTATTACTATGAAGCAATTAATAATATAACGAACAAATCTAAAAACTACCATTATTTTATAAAAAAACTGAAACAAAAGAAAAATTCTTTAAATTGCAAAATATAAACAGTTTTCAAATCAATTTTGAAAAAAATTGTTTTAACCGAATTTTAAAATCAGCTATACTAAATTTAACAAATATTATTCTGGATAAAGCAACTACTGAACTACTTAATCTTGGGCCAAAATTTGTCTTACTACAAAAGAACATCTCTTTTTTTTTTTTTTTTTTTTATCAAGTTGATTAAGGTGCCCCAAGAAGTCCTTACGGTCTTATCACAGAGCACCGCGGAAGAGCATTTAATAGGAAGTTCACGCTTTCTTCCCAACCGATGTCGCAAAGCTTGCCCAGAGGTGGGGTTTGAACCACGGATCTTGTGTTTCTGAGGCAAGTGCGCTATCACTGCGCCACGGCTGCTCAATATATGGACATATCATATATAGACATAATCACTATTGAAACTTGCGCCTTAGAACTCGAATAACAAAATAAACAAACACAGGCAGAGGTTCTTCGACAAAACTGTTCCAAAATTCTAACCAGTTCTGTAAAATTAAAAATAAAAGATAATTTAACAAAACAGCAACGCTTTTCTTTACAAAACTTGGAAAAACATTCACATCTAAAGATATATCTGTTTTACAAAGGAACAGGTTTTGCTTTATTATACGAAAATGAAGCAAAAGCAAAATTAGAAGAATTAATAAAAAATAGTAAAATTATTGAGTACGACCCAACACCCACATTAACTACTAAATTTCAAAAGTATTATGTAAATTAAGAAAACAAGGTTAGTTAGACAGTGCTACTTATTTTAAAATGTATTCATCAGATTGCGTTCCACCTAGAACCTATGAAATGGTTAAAGTACACATATTGGAAAAAAACTACTGAATGCGTCCTGTTGTTTCTACTATTAACGCACCTCCTTATGGAACATCTGAGTATCTGATTAAAATTATCCAACCAACATTAAACAAAAATATAACTCGACTAATTAATTCAAGAAACTTTGTCAACTATGCTAAAGAATGGAAAATAGACCCTAATGAAATTCAGGTTTCTTTCGATGTAATTAATTTATATCCATCCGTGCCAATCAATGAAAAATTCCTGTTATTATTAACATATTTAACAATGATTTTGAAGATTTAAAAACTAGGACTAAGTTAACTTTCATAGATATACACCAATTAATTGAACTATCGTTAAGCATATGTTACTTTTCATACGAGGATAAAATCCGAACTTTATCTAATTCAGGTCCTATTAGTTTGTCATTGATGGTAGTCATAGATGAAGTATTTTTGAAAAATAGAAAAAAAAGAGCACTTGATATAGTCCTTTTTAGTTCATTCCAACCAATAACTTACAAAAGATATGTGGATGATAGCCATGCTCGCTTTGATTCAAAAGAAAAGCAAGATTTACTTCTAAAAGTTTTAAATGAACAAAAGCCGTCCATAAAATATACTGTTGAACTTAGAAACAAAAGAAAGCAACTTAATTGTTTAGATATTTGTATTACAAATACAAAGAATGGATTTTATGACTTTCAAGTACACCTTAAGGATGCGATAACAAATGTTCAAATAAAACGAAACTCAAACATCAACCCAATCATAACCACTTTAAAGGTTTTTTATGTTGAGCAAAAGAAATCTGCTCTCAAAAATATCTCTTACAAGAAATTGGTTTCCTCATAAATACATTTTTTGAAAACAGCTATAATAAAAATAATCTAATTAAAATAACTAAAAACTATTTTGACGGCATTTCAAAAAATACTGCATCTAATAAATTGCCTCAAAAACGTAAGATCCGTGGTTCAAACCCCACCTCTGGGCAAGTTTTGCGACATCGGTTGGGAAGAAGGCGTGAACTTCCTATAAAATGCTCTTCCGCGGTGCTCTGTGATACGACCGTGAGGAGTTCGTGGGGCACCTTAATCAACTTAAAATAAAAAAAATAAAAAATAAATAAGATCAAAAGTTTGTTAAACTACATTGGATACCTATTACTGGCCCAAAACTCTAAAGAGAATTTAAAAAAAAGAAAATCATTTCAAGAAGTGCAGAACACCAAAGAGATTGCCAAAATCAAAAATTGTCAAGTTTAGAAGACACGGAACATTCTAGAACATGCCGTGGTAACTTTGATTGGTTAAATCCTAATACCTAGGCAGTTTTCAAGAATACAAGATACAAAAAATTAGAGAATCCCTGGAGATTACCAAAGCAAAAGTTCGATATGGGATAAGTATTGGGGAAGGTATTCTAAATCGAGATGACAGGGATAAGGGTAAAACACAAACTTGGGGACCCATTTTGACAAAAATTTAACTGATGTCACTATTATATAATTTAATTGGTTTTTATATTTGACGCTTTTTAATGCCTTCATTTTAAAACGGTTTGTTTTATGTTATTTTTGTAACATTTTATTATTACCTGATGACGCTGACCACAACAGGCCAGCGAAATATCATTAATATATTTTTACATCAAAATATATTAAAAAATAGTTATATGCTGTCTTTATAATAAAATCAATTTACATTTTTATATATATATATATATATATATATATATATACATATATATATATATATATATATATATATATATATATATATATATATTATATATATATATATATATATATATATATATATATATATATATATAATGAATAAAAACAAATTTGCATTTTAGTATTTAATGATTTCCATTGCGTGTTACTTTTTTAATGAAAAACGCTTACATTTTTATTAGAAAACATAAAGCAAGATTACAAAAAGTTATACCAATATATATATATATATATATATATATATATATATATATATATATATATATATATATATATATATATATATATATATATATATATATATATATATATATATATATATATATATATATATATATATATATATATATATATATATATATATATATATATATATATATATATATATATATATATTATTTGCAAAAATTTTATTTGAATATACATGCAACAATAAAAAGCTGAATTTAATGTTTAAAAAAAAGATTTGCAATTTTTGAAAAAAGTTTTGAAAGGAATTGTAAAATCTTTGACATAATTGGCATAGGCGTTGGTTTATATGGTGTTGTATAAGGTCTGGTAGTTTGCATTTTGGGAATCGAGGTTGTAGTTTGTGTTAATAATTCACTGGCATCAGAATTGCATAAATCTTTATCGCAGCAGGTTATCTAAAATTTAAAAATTTAAATTATAGAGTAGTTTTTTGATATTGAATCCAGAATATATATATATATATATATATATATATATATATATATATATATATATATATATATATATATATATATATATATATATATATATATATATATATGTATATATATATATATATATATATATATATATATATATATATATATATATACATATATATATATATATATATATATATATATATATATATATATATATATATATATTTATATATATATATTATATATATATATTATTATATATATATATATATATATATATATATATATATATATATATATATATATATATATATATATATATATATATATATATATATATATATATATATATATATATATATATATATATATATATATATATATATATATATAATTGAAGTTTTAAAATAAAAATAATAGTGCTTTATAATATAAACCCTAACACCATCTTCGAAAAGTTGCGTTTTTCGCCTATTTCAGTCTAGAAAACTTTGCTTGTACTTACTTCATTGTTTCTAAATTGCTAGTTAAAAAATTATTCTTTTTACTATCATATCCTAATCCTTAAAGCGGCCTAATGATGTAATTAGTGTTAACAACTGTTAGTGTAAATGAATTTACTTTAAGAATGGGTAACAAATGTTCAACACAAAAGTTTGTGTGTTTTTTTAAATATATTTGATATGAACTAGATAACAAAGGCGGACAACAAACTATTGCTCAGCTTTTGTAAAAGAAAATGATTTACATTTCGTTTGCTGTTACAACTTATGTCAGCTTATTAAATCAGCTAATAAATATTTTTATATGTTTTAGATTAGTTGCACCATAACTTATTTGTTATTAAATAATGCATATGTTTTAATTTTTTATTTTAATTTATAAATAAAAATACTCTTTTATTTATGTTTTTGCTATGACTCAATCAAAACTACTTATTCGATTCTATTTGTTTATTAAATAAGCTTGGATTTTTTAAGGTTGGACCACGGTGAATGCTGTAAAAAAAAAGTGCACATATAATCAAGATCTTATGTGTAAAACAATTTTTTATATAAGGGTTATGCTCGTGTCTCTGTATTACTAGGCACTTCATTCTAATGAGGTTACAGCTCTAAAACCTAGTTTTATGGTTCTGAGGCCGGATCGTAGTCAGGTTTTTCAAAATCTGATTTGATATCAGCTGAAAAATATTAAAGTAATTTTAGTGCAATGATGCGCATGGACGGTGTCCCAGTTCGTACTGCTTTGTCGACACCACATTTTGAGGTCTTTTTTACTGCTTTGGGTTTATTAGTAGATATAAAGTAATTGCTTGGACTATCGAATAGTGTACAGAGCAAATTTTATAAAATGTTTTGATTTTTTCTCAAACACAGAAAACCTTTCTTACAATAAAATCATCAGCTGTGTATGAGATTTACAAAACTATAAAAAAAACTTTTTATATTGAATTTCCTATAAAAATTTAAAAAAGTAAGTAATAATGGCTAATATAATACTATAATTAACAATAATATAGTTTATAATTATAATTAAAAATAATATAGTGTAACTTCGTTCTTATTAGTAAAGAAATTAGTGAACTAGTACTTTCTATTTATATGTTTATTTTGTCATGTCCCTGTTTATGTAGATAAGCTTCATAAAAAAGAAGTAAATTTTTGTTTGAGAGTTTTAATATTTAAAATAAATAAAAAAAGGTTCATTTTTATGCCAATTGAAAACTTGCTAATCAAATGTATCTTAGCAAATATCTTTCCTGCCTGTGTAAATGTGTAGATTAGTTGTTATTCTTAGGTTATTGGATATAGCAATGTATCCCAGCAACACACATACGCTGTTTAAACATTATAACATGTCGAGCGTTACGTTTGCCCAACATCGGCTGCAAACGTTGTTCTTATATCATTATGGTTACAAATGCGACGTTACTAACAACTAAAAACCAATGTTAATAAAATGCTTATTTTAAGTCGGAAACTGGTACGTTGATTCAACGTTTTGTTTTATATGTTGGCCCAACGTTGTAGTTACGTTGATTCAACGTTGAACTTTAATTGGCAAAACGTTATGAAAATCAAATTTTCATAAAAATCTATTTTCTTTAAATTATATATATATATATATATATATATATATATATATATATATATATATATATATATATATATATATATATATATATATATATATATATATATATATATATATATATATATATATATATATATATATATATATATATATATATATATATATATATATATATATATATATATATATATATATATATATATATATATATATATATATATATATATATATATATATATATATATATATATATATATATATATATATATATATATATATATATATATATATATATATATATATATATATATATATATATATATATATATATATATATATATATATATATATATATATATATATATATATATATATATATATATATATATATATATATATATATATATATATATATATATATATATATATATATATATATATATATATATGTTTATACATATACACATACATATACATATATACGTATACATCCGACTTAAACATTGTGTATATATAAGTATGTTATAGAGTGCTAACGCTTAATCATAGGAACAAAAATCATGTTTGTGTTGATTGCGGTTCGATATTTTAGTATTCACAGAAGGTTTTATTTAAATTATATAATTTTGCAATAGAAATCTTTGGTCGCATATATTAACTCAACGTTGGGTTTAGATCGTATAAACAATCATTTTTTTATGATGTTTTTACATACATTTGACCAATGTAAATTTGCCAGATGTTTTCAGTTCCGTCGGTAATAATTTTATTATTAACCAAATGACATTGGATTAACATTTGTTTTGCATTGGAAAAAAGAGCCAACGTTCGCGATGGTTTTACATACGTTGGCTCAATGTAAGTGTTCTAGCTGGGATGTTGTTTTTTCGTCACAACCAAAACATGATAGAAAATAAAAAATATTTTAGGAATTACATAATATTAATTTTTTAAAGCTCCATATTCTTGTTCCATTTATCAGATGCTTTGGCAAAATGGTCAACAAACTAAAGATACATAGTACATAACTGGTTCCTAATACTTGTACTTAAGTGTCTTAAAATTTATTTTGGTTGAAGTTGTCATTGTACAACAGAAGTGTTTTCTGACTTCAATTTATTTTTTCTAAAACAGACAGTTTTATAGTACATGTAGAGCAGATAACTAATTTTCAAATTTAATATTTTTAAAATTTGTAGTTACGAAAGCTTTTGTTTTCATCTGTTTTTGAAGGTGCTGCTCCTTGTAGCTGAGCTTTAAAAATTCCATTATTAATGACTTTTACTGGGTATTTGCATTGACCTAAAATATGTTTTAGCCGTTAGAGACTGACTTTTATTTTTGTTGGGTTAAACACAAATGGTCCGTTTAGCTAATGTAAAAGGTGTTTTTATTTTGTATCTTTTGGGTGATAGCTATTGTAATTTGAATAATCATGGGAATGGGTTTTTGTAAAAGTGTTTTTTCCTTTGTATCTTTTGGGTGATAGCTATTGTAATTTGAATAATCATGGGAATGGGTTTTTGTAAAAGTGTTTTTTTCCTTTGTATCTTTTGGGTGATAGCTATTGTAATTTGAATAATCATGTGAATGGGTTTTTGTAAAAGTGTTTTTTTCCTTTGTATCTTTTGGGTGATAGCTATTGTAATTTGAATAATCATGGAAATGGATTCAAAAAACCTATTTCAATAATTTTGTTATCATGATGCATAAATGTTATGTCTAAAATCTTTAAAGTTTTGGTATATAAAATGTTAGACTTTTTCTTCTGTGTAATTGACATCGGGGTGTAAAGAATTAAGACACTTTAACAGCAAGTTAACATTAATTGATTTTAGTAACAAGACAAAACCTTCATCTATATATCTTTTGATATTGTTTTGAATATTTAAATTTGGTAAAAATTTAAGTAATAGTTTCATTTCTTCAAGATATCCGATTACTAAACATGCATTTGTTGGAACATATTTTGTTCTCATAGCTGTTATTTAGAATTTTATGATTTCTAAAATTCTTTATTGTTGTATTCCTTATCATAAAACTGTTGATGAATGATTAATTTCCTTATAAAATGTTTTAAATTGGATTTCACTAAAACTAATTTATTTTTGGTTGTGGCAGTAAACTTAAAATCTTTGAGTCATAAAAATATTTGTAACATAGAAACCAATTTACATAACTTCATTTTGAAGCTCTTAAAATTTGTCGCAAAGACTTGATTGTCTTGAAGAGTACAAATTAGACAACTTATTTGACTTGGATATTGCTTTTTTAAACAGATTGAAATTAAGTTGTTGTAAGTGTTGTTTTAAAGCATTAAGTAGTTATAATAAACGAACCTTTTTATTGCAGGAAGTATTTTTAAGTATGAATTTTTGTTTGTTGTAATCAGCTCAGCTAATTGTGTGCCTTATGATTGAAATGTAAATTTAATTATGGACTCTCAAAGAAACTTTATATAGTGTAATTCAGTTGTAAAATATGTTGAGTTTGCTTCTAAGTACAAACACAGTTTTACCTAAAATAATAATTTTTAAACAAGTTTTTTATAATTATTTAAAAATTGTTAAATAAATAGAGTCTGTGTAAATTTAAAAGATTACTCAAAAACTAGCAAATGTATGTTTAAACATAAAGTCCGTTTAATCTATACATTTAACATTAACACGTTATTGCACGATTGAGGTGATCGTTTAAAAGCTGTCAAAAGAACGTTTGCAGTAAACTTTAAGTAAACATTCAGTGAATATTATTTGTTCGTTTGTATTGAACCTAAATAAAAATTATGGCAGAGTTTTTAAAACGTTATTAATTAGCTAAGAGATTAAGTACTTAATCTTTCATGTCGATCTAAAACTTACTTACTGATCATCAAT